CTGATATGTGTTCCCTGTGAAGATGAGACGCTTTTCGTGGCAGAAGCGAAGTGTTAGGGTAGTATGCCTGAATGCCAAAGCTCTGCAGAGCGAAGCATGGGACAAGCCTCCTAGGCGTTAAGACACATTGCACACAAAACGCACACGTCACGGGAGAAGAGCAGGGCGAGGAGACTAGAAAACGTTTCGTGGACGTGCATTGGTATCCTGCGCAGTGCGGCTATGCCATATCCACTACAGCCAGACCCAGCAACGCCGCGCCTACGCAGCGTAGCCGTTGGCGGCGAGCCACGCCTTGAGAGCGGCGGCGTCGCGCTGGCGGTAGGCGGCGCGGCCGCGGATCTTATCCTTGGCCGTCTCGAGGGTGCGGTTGAAGCCGGCCGTATCCTTGCCGGCGAAGAAGGCGTCAATCTCCTGGATCTTGTCGGCGTCGGCAAACTTGGACAGGCTCGTGGAGACGAGGCGATCGACGACGACGTTGTTGCCGGCCTTGACGACGCAGTCGTCCCAGTGGGCCTGGAGGTACTGCCACTGGGCCTCGCGGGCGGACGCGTTGGCGCCGAGACCCGAGGCCAGGACATGCATGTTCGGACGAGGGCCACCGACTCGGAGGCCGGCCGCGGGCGGGGACCCGATTGAAGAGGAAGGGGAGGATCGTGTTCTTTGACGAGCTCCGTGTCGCGGGGCCGCGCTGATGGCACTGAGGCAGACCTCCTTGCCATCGATCGACTTTGTTGTGAACCACTCCTTCTTGAGCACCTCGACCGCCTTGACGGGGTCGTGCTTGACGGCCACGCGGAACACGGGCGTGCGCAGAGCTGGGGGGAGAGGGTTCGACTCGGGCGACTCGACATAGGCCTTCCAACGCTTGAGAGCCTCCTCGGTGACGCTATCACTCGTTAGCAAGGATGCATCACTCGAAAGAATAGGGGCACGTACCCAGCGTGGCCGTTGACACCGGCGGTGAGGATAAGACGCTTGCGCAGCAGACCAGCGAGGTAGCTCTCGCCCTCGGGATAGTCCCAGCCGACCTTACCAACGGCTTCGTCGATCAGCTTAAGGGTGAAGGCCTGGAGGCCCTTCTTGATGACCTCGTCTTCGCCAAAAACGGACTTGACCGATGCGATGGAGTCAAGCACCTGGCTCCAGACTAGGTAGTTGTCCTCCTTGCTGAAGCCTTGGATGAACGAGAGGAGCGCAGCAGTGGTGCCGTTGCCCGAGAAGGCGAGATCACCGGCGGATCCAATGATGGCAATCTTGTCCTCGATGGACAGGCGGTCGAGCTGCTTGCCCAGCTGCAGCAGGCGCTCGGGCGGGTAGTTGACGCGGTAAAAGCCCGAGGCGCCAGAGTTGAGCTTGTAGAACTCGGAATCAATGTCAGTGATGATGTCTTCCTTCTCTCCAGCGCAATACGAGGTAATTCCCTTGACACCCTTCTGCCCTCGAGCTCGAAGAGAGGATCCACCAAGTTGTCTCGTCATCTTGAGGCTTGACATCGCCGGTAGAGAGGAAAGCGCGATTGCTTGATCGAAATCTGGTTGGGCTGCTCGGCGACGGTCAGCACGGGGTGACCGATCTTGGAAATCCAAGGGCCCATGAGCTTGTTGACGTCCCTTGCCAGAGGCCTCGCTGAGAGCGCTCCAGAGCGCTTCGGTCTTGGCGTTGCCGTACTGGTGCTTCTTCAAGTAGTTGGACACGCCCTTGAGGAAGGTCTCGACGCCTAGATGGTTTGCGAGCATGCGGATGGCGGAGCAACCCTTCAAGTAGCTGATGTGGTCGAAGATCTGGTTGACATCGAGGGCGTCCTTGACGGGAACGTGGATGGCGTGGCTGGCACGGATACTGTCCAGCTTGAACGCCATCTCCATACCCTCATTGATGAACTGCGGCCAAACCTGCCACTCGGGATGCAGGTGATCAGTTGCGAGCCAGCCAACCCAGGTAGCAAAGCCCTCGTTCAGCCACAGCTCGTCCCACCAGTCCATGGTGACAAGGTTGCCAAACCACTGGTGGGCGAGCTCGTGCGCGACGACATAGGCCACGCGGTTGGCGTAGCGCGGCTCGGACGTCTTCTCGTCGTAGAGGACGGCCGTCGTTCGGTAGGTGACCAGACCCCAGTTCTCCATCGCGCCGGCCGAGAACTCGTGGACGGCGAGCAGGTCGGCCTTGGGCAGAGGGTACTCGATACCGAAAATGTCAGAGAAGTAATCGATGATCCTAGGCGCATGCCACAGAGCCCAGCGGCCCTGCTCCTTGAGACCACGCGTGGTGTAGACACGGACAGGCAGCTGTTTGCCATTGTAGCGGCGCTCGGTAAAGGCCTCGACGTACTCAAAGTCGCCGATGGCCCAGGCGAGAAGATATGTGCTCATCTTGGGGCTGGTCTCAAAGGAGACCAGGTGGAAGCCATCGCGCGTCTTCTTGGTGTCCTTGACGGGCATGTTGCTGAGAGCGACCTGGTCGTCGGGGATCTCGAGCTCGACGTCAAAGGTGGCCTTGAGGTTGGGCTCGTCGAAGCAGGGAAAGGCGCGACGCGCATCGCAGGGCTCGAACTGGGTGCTCAGCATATAGTGCCACTCGTCATCGCGGGGGACCGAGGCAGCGGGTGTGACGGCGGGGGTATATTTGCTGCGGTAGAAGCCGGCCATGTCGTTGTTCAGGATACCCTCAAAGTGGATGAGGACAGAAGCCTTCTGAGAGGCAGGAATCTCCTGGTCAAAGGCGATGACAGCGCGCTGCTTCTTCTCATCGAGGGAGATGGAGGCGGATTCGTACGATTCGGTGGACTTATTCTGCGTGACGGTAACGGAAGCCTTGGACAGCTTGAGCTCGAGGGCATTGATGACGACCTCCTTGGTGGGCTTGGCAACCTCTACGTCAATGCTGCACGGAGGTTAGCGTCAGGCGTCATCATGGCGAGGGCGATCGGGGACGGTGGTTGGCAACTTGCCTGACGGTTCCCTGGTAGGTCCAATTCTTAAAGTCAAGCTCGCGCAGGGAGACGACATAGTGCGAGGGCCTGATGGCATCGGGAAGGACATCGCGGTCCGCCATATTGCCGAAAGAACTGGCGTGAAATGCCAATTCCGATGTGGTGACGGAAGAGCAGTGTCGACGAGGCGAGGTGGGAGGTCTAGAGTGACGTGACCAGGGATCAGCAAGACGAATCCCGAACGGTAGCTCGAGACAACGGAGGCGAGAAGTAGGTGTGGACAACGCAATACTCTGAAAGCACGATTGCAGATATAAGCAAGGTGGGGATGTAGTGAGGTTGGGAAAAGGAGGGATTTCCAAGATCTCTTCCAGCTAAAGCTCGAGAACCAAAAGGCAGAAGCCATATTACTAAGCCCAGCCCAAAGGGAGGGGCATTTGAAAGGAGGGGCAGATGGCGATCGAGACCGAGACCCACACCCGCACTGCACCCTACACCTACCTTAGGTACCTAGGTAGGGTAAGGTACCTTGCTAAAGGCAGAGAGCTCTCTCACCGGGCCACTCGGCACGCAAGAGGGGGGCGGGCAGGGGATGCCCTCAGATGAATACGATGAATGGATGGGGTAGGAAGGTACCCAATGGCGGGAATCCAGTGCTGGCGCATCAGGCTGCTTAGGGTCGGTCGGTCGACAGCCTACCTGTGGGGAGGTAGGGGGAGCGTCACAGGCGGCTGAGACCTCCGCGGCATACCGACCTACCTAGGTACCTTAGGTAGGCACCGTACCCAAAGTGCCCTGCGCTTAGCAAAGGCCTCAGAGCAGAGCCTCCGCCATGCCACTATCAGTGGACCGCCGGGGGTCCACAATGTGCCGAGCTGTGGACATGGGAGCACCAAAGAGCTAGGTGCTGCCTGCCACGATGGCATCCCAGGGGTATCTTTGTCTCTCTGGGGGTCTGGATTCAGGTCTGCCCCGGGTTCATGGACGTACCTCAGTTGCTCGCCGTGCCGCCGTGCCGCCACCGCCAGCTCATTGTGTAATGGCGACGTCGAGCCGGTCGGAGCCGAGCGCGGTGTCGCGGGCGCCCAAGTAGTGACGGGCGATGAAAACTGCTGGGAAAACCGCGTGTGCGTGACGGCTCCACACAAAGATGTGATGGCAGACGCGGATGCCGATGCAGAGACGCACGAGAGCCTCGCCCCTGACAGCCACCCAGCCGCTCCCAGCCTCGAGCTGAGAAGGCCGACGTGGGCCATTGGCAGGAATAAGACGTTGCCGGGCTGCTGTTCTTCAACCGAGGAATGGTGAATGCAAATTGATGGTGACGCTCATCCAGTGCCGAAGTCACCCTGTTTGTAGTCGATCTTGAGGTGGTGTCGTTCCGATTGATGAAGAGATGCGACTGGCCAACATGCAAGCGTGCGAAATGGGCACAGGCCGAGCTGATCCTGAAACAGTGTGAACCCGACGTCCGCATACTTCACACGGAGTTCTGACAACACTGGGAGAACGAACCTTAGGTATAGACTACCTACCTACTCAGTGTCATCACAAGTGGGACGAGTCGTATCGCTGCCAGCTCTCATGCGAACACCTCGTCAGGAGAACGCTGGCTTGTTCATTCAAATGCAAAATAACGCTGCTGTCAAAGTGACGCACACCTGGTCAATCCACCAAATCGTAGCATGCCTTCCCCGACGTCCTGACCTCCAAAGCATGTCCATGATTCGACTCATTGAACTCCTCCTCATCCTCCTACTGTCAGTCTCCCATAGATTGTCCCGCGTACGAAGCCATGATCGTTTGCTCTCATCCCTTGCCCCATGCATGTCCATGTTCGTTACAACCGGGGAAAAACAAAACCCTGAAACCCTGCCCAAACGCCCCAGCCCATGGAAACCGTATTCCGCAACAAGCCCTGCCGTACCGCAACACAGACCGATTCCGCTTGCCAAAGGAAAAAAACACCCGATTCTCGATATAGACGTCACGCTTCCATGAGGCTCATGCCTCTAAATCATGCCACTGTTGTGCTGGTCGCCGCCTCCTCTTGCTGCACCTTCTCCGAAACCGCCTCCCACCACTTCGTATGTGCTGCGCGGTCCACGGCTCCGACTCGTGCCAGCTCGTCCACGATCTCTCGGACTTGCGTCGCGAACTCGGCAAGCCCGAGCCCCGCCAAACGCTCACCAGCTGTGCTTGCTGCCTTGACCTTCTCGCTGGCTGACCCTGCGCCAAGCCTGGCAAACATGTGGACACGAAGTCGCGTCAGCAGGAGCCGCAACACCGGTTCCTGCGGTTCGGCCCCATTAAAGATCGAGTCCTGGCTTGCCTGAACGACCTTGGTAACAAGCGCCTGTAGGTGTGTCTTGGTCGCCGCCGGCATCGTCCGTCCTGCTTCGAGTGCCACCATGACGCCGTGTACCGTCGTCTCCATCTTGTCATGCTTCGCTTCGAGCACCAGCATGATCCGAGCCGCCTCCGCCTTCCACGGCGACCGCACGTCGCGTTTGAGTATGTTCTTGCATTGAAGAAGAATCGCTGCTGCAGTGACAATCCTCTGTGACGCCAGTGATAGTCTCTGCATCCTCTTGTAGTCCAAGAGGAGCATTTCCGGCACCGTCTCCTCTCGAATGGGCAGCGCTTGGGTGAAGAGATCGACCATCATCTGCGCGTAAAATTTGTCGGCCGTTGGCCTGTTCTTGGCATGGTTTATGCCTTCAGGGTCGCGTTTGCTCGCTTCCGCAAGCACCTTGAGGCGTGCCGAACGCCACGCTTCAACAGCTGCCGTCAGCTTGTGATGCCCCTTTTCCAGGGCTTCATCAAACTTCTTGGCTTCGTACTGCGGTCCAGACTCAATGAGCTGCGGGGCTGCCGTCGATAACATATAATTGACGTAGTCGCACAACATTACGTCGATGAAGCCTGTCAGCGCCTCTACTCGATCCACCAAGGTGCCTTGATGGAGTTTATTTGTCACAAGATCCTTGCACTCCTCGTCACGATAAGGTGCGCAGAGCTTAGGCAACAGAGAAGAAACCGCTGTGAAGAATTTCTCATAAGAAAAGCTTCCCATCTGAAACTGCTGTTCTGCAAGCTCAACGTCAAGGACCTCGCCGATTGTCTTGTGCATGAATGCCCCTGGCCGTACCAGTCGTTGGAGTGACTCTTTGAAGTATCGCATCATTGTCGCAAAGTACATGAAGCCAGCCTCCGATTCGTTGGAGTGAAGCTCAGCCCGCATGCCCTCAAAAAGTGGCTGCTGAAAGGTCGCCCTATGCTCGCAATATTCATCGGCGGGAATCCGGTACTCTCGATTGATAGCCAGTTCGTGTACAACAACTCGGTTCTGCGGCAGAAGTCCGCTCAAACCAGGCGGCAACACGATGGGCAGTGGAGGTTGGGGTTTCGTGGAGGCTTTCAGTGGTGTCGCTGGCGGAGTCACTGTCTGATCTCCCGAAGAGACGAGACTCGCGGCGGTAGCAGAGCCCTCGGCGCTGTCCGAGACGCGTGGCTTCATGTCGGCAGTGGGTTTGTTGGCGGCGCGAGCCTTGCGCGCCTGGCGCACGGCATCGGCGATCATCTTCTTGCCCCTTTCCTGGCAGCTAGCTTCTTAATCCGCACAATCAGTTTGACTTGATTGTCTTTGATGCTCTCACGATACGGCTCGGGGAGGCATCGTCGGTACTATCTTTGACCGTCTGCAAATCATGTCAGCTCAACGACTGGAGTACATGACTGCACGAGCTAGTCCGAGTCACGCGACTTCCACGCAATGAAGGCGTTATGGAACGTGGCGTAGTCTTCAGAGACGCCCTGGCGCAGCTAAGCTGGGGCCGTATAACTGTTACTCGCATTGAGGCGAGAAAAAACATTTTCAAAGCAGATGAGTAAATCCCTTGCTTTCGATACGAGATCCTGTAACTGCGGGTTAGCAAGATCATCGTGAGGCATAGGTTGGGGCAACTGCGCTCCAACCTGCTCCTGCTGTGCTGTGCCATCCTTGTTGCTCAGGACCTGAGCCGGATGGCCCAAGATGATGAAGGCGCTGAGGAACGTGCGGACCGCTGCCATCTCGCCAACAGAGCCAGGTTGACCCTCCTGCAAACCACAGATGCGCAGAATGCGAGCTGTCCGCAGAAGAACTCTTTCTTGGCCGAGCAGATCGACGACGCTGTCGAAAGTGGTGTCGCGGATACCGTCAACCGTAAGGCCTAACTCGGCAAACTCGCCGACTGCACGTTTCCTTTGCACTGCCCGCCACCACCATTGAAGCTTTCCTGCTGCCTCGTCTTCGGTATACGAAGGACTTTGCTTTGCTTTGGCCCGCTTCGCCGATGATGGCGGCGAAGAGGGCGGGAACTCGCCACTATCCTTATCATCGTTGTCTTCGGGCAGCACGTCTAGAGAGGTCTTCTTGTTCGTCAAGCTCTGACCTCGGAAGCGTTTGCTGGCCGAGCGATTTTTCAGCTCCTCTCGCCGGCGATCGGCTTCGGCCATGCGCTCTTCCATCCGTGCCTTGACACGAGCCAGCTCGGTCTCTCGCTTCTCTTTCATGCTCTCAGCGACTGCCCTCGCCTTCTTGACATCCTCGGCGCACGAGGCGACGATTTCGGCAAGCTTCTTCTCTCGCGCTTGTTGAGCGGCAAGAGCGCGTTCTTCTGATGAGGACGTGCCTCTCGGCGTCGCCTTCGCCAGGGCCGCTCGAATGCGCACCTTCTCAGCGTGGGCTGCACGATCCGCGAGCCGGGCTTTGCGGTCTTCGAGGAACGACGTGCGCCGCAGATGTTGGGCAATCAATTTGCTTTGGTGGCCGTCGCTGTTGCGGCGGGTGTAGTTGTGGGCGGACGAACATCGCGAATGGGCGGAGGATATGGAGTTCCGCCGTGAGGATGCCGCCGAGTCTTTGCGACGGGTCTGGGTTGGGCGGTAGAAACGCGCGGCAATTCTTGGCGGTGGTGTGTGGATGTGCCCGACGGCATCATCGTTGTCAACATCGTCGTCAGAGATTGGTGGCATGGTCAGGTCTATGTTGTTCACGTTGACTTCACTGGCTGCTTCTTCGTTCGAGAGCGGTCCAGGAGATACGACTGCCTCCTCCATGATGTAATCGGGATCAACAGGATCGGATGTGGACATGTTGGCCAGAGCAGGGAGGCTGTCGAAGGTATCAAAGATGTCGGAAGTATCGAGGCAGCACCTTCGCCCGGGCTGTTTCAGAGAGGTTTGGAGGCGTCCAGGCTATCTGTCTGTGACGAGCGCGTGGACTTATCTGGACAGATAGACGAGGTTGAGTTTGGGAGAAGCAACAGTCCGGACTTTCCCCCGATCTGTGCGTATAGGTAGGTATGTTTATCCTGGCTGCGATGGTCGTCGTGGACGGACTGGGGCAGAACAACAAGGGGACTCGGTGAGGATCGTCAGGCAAACGAGAGATGCACCCGATCCGCACCGAAATGGATGATTTCAAAGCGAGTGACCAAATGAATAATGGAAGAATAAGTCGTCAATAGCCAGGCTCGCAGTCAGGATGGGGCTCTGAAAGGGTCGGCATGAGGGCAAGGAAGATGCGAAGTGAAAACGAAGGCTGGCTGCAACGGCGATCGGGTGTCGAGGGGTGATTCAGACACCAGTTGTGAAGAAGTGGAGGCTGGGGGATGGGTATGCTGGTTGGTGTGGGACGCGGGAGCGAAGGAAGGAATGACGGAAGCTTCCAGTTCCCTGGATGCGGACTACACCTGCCCTCCATTTGTCTGCTCGGTCTGCTTACAGAGACAGACAGACACACCGTACCCATCGCGCCATGCCCTGTGACAACGCTAGCGCTCCGCCCTGAAATGTCCCTGGAAGGAGCAGGGCAGCCCAGGCAGCTGCCACTACCATCTGGTAAGACAAGACAAAGAAACGCTGCTGCTCGTTCAAACACCAGATAACGGATGCTTCGCTTCGGAGCCTTCAGTACTGCTTCTGTTCGCCGGCCCAGCAACGTGGATCTCAGTGGACGGTTTTACGCCCTGCTTGCCTCGAATCGCTTGTAACCTGCTTCAAGCGGGTGGATGGGTTTTAATACTACGAAGCTTATTTGTGCGACAGAACTGCTAGACCTGCTTCCTGCAGAAAGGTCCCGTGGTGTCATGCTTGCCCCATCTGTCGACATCCACTCTGATCTGGCGTCCGGGGATCTCATCGGGCGCTTCCGTTAAGATGCAAGATCACGTGCATTTGACACGGAACAGATGAGGGTGAAGGCGTTGTCAGCAATGGAGAACAGAAATGGCAGAATCACTGATCCTGATTTGACAGTTGCGATTTGCCAGATGGCAGGTGTTGCTTTCCATGGGTCTATAGCACATCACACTTGTGAGTCCCCTTCTGTTCCCGCTGCATCGCAGTGGGGTTTGATGAGCCGGCCCTTCCAACCATAGATTGAATCCACGTCACCCGAGCTTGACTTGCTATCGGCCCTCTGATTTCCTTCAAGCGTAATGAAGATGTTTGAGTGAATCGTTTGTTACACAAGCGACCTGCTTGCGAACCGCTGCGGTGACTCGCGCCAGGCGCTGTCCCTGGTCGCTTCTCGCTTGCATGAATACATAAGGCTGAGCCCTGCTCTACGGTACGTGCTCATGGGTTCCGGCTGCTGACTGTACATGTATGGCAAGAGGCTTGCTTGTAAGTAAATTCTTGGTTCGTCCGTCAAGATGCTGGATCGGATCAACTCTGGCCGCCATGCCTCACCGCTAGTAGCGCATTGCGTGTTCCACGCGTATCTCGGTCGCCAGACCCATAACGACCTCGCAGCGGGGGTCAGGTGGTGCAGCGAAACCTTGCCGCCCCGCGGATGGAGTTCGAAGGCCTGACCTGAGTCAATGACGACCACAGCTTCCCTTCGCGACTCGAAACGGCGGTCGTGAGCCGCTGGGCTTTGGATCAACGCATTCTTTGTTTGGCACGGAGCTTAAGGGGCAGCAGCTATTACTGTTCAGGCGCAGCGCCATCAATTGCGGGTTCGACGGCGCAACCTGCCAGACAGAAGTTCAGTCTGACGGACTACGAGTCCGGCACTTTGCAACACGCTAGTACAGAATGAGTTTGCAGAACATTGTTATGAAGGCACGTTGTCCCGACCGATGCTTCAGACCATGAAGACAAACCTAACGGTTTAGGGATAGCCGGTAGTCCTTCACTGCCCCCAAGCGTTTCCCTGATAGATCGAGCGCCGTTCTTCGCCTTCGAAGATTGGGGGGGGGGGGGGAATGTCAAGCGCCCAGCCGGGGTGACACCGTAGGCGAAGAAGGAAGTTAGCTGCTAACTTCTCTCGGTATGAGCCGTTACTCGTGGCCCAGTCACTGGTCTCCCAACGGCACTGACTCGCCGGCACATCTGGGCGACCAGCCATGGAAAGGCAGGGAGGGAGCTCGTCTCACAACAAACGGCCGCGAGCCTGGCCTCGTGCACGGCTCGGACTGTAGCCATGACCGCAAGACGCATTTCGTAGCAGCGTGTAAGACCTGGGACGACCGAGGTGGTCTCTTCTTGAGGTGTTGAAACCAGCGGCAGCACCCGGCCGGAAGGTTTACTGATGATCGGATTGTGACGTTGAGATGATGACTGGCAGGGACCGGGATGCACCCCGGAGAACGGCCAACATTCCCACGTACACCAACCCGTGGATCGTTTGCTCGTTGTGTCGAGTCACTTGTTGCCAGATGTGGCCAGTCACCACCAGATGAGAGGGGGGTGATAAAGAAGCTGTTCTGTTCCAACAAGAGTTCGCATCAGGAGTAGCGACTTGTGGATAGCTGGCAGAGTGGGCGTACAGTGTGAGCTGTTTTTGGCGGCATCAGCGCTGATCAAGCGGTCGGCATGGGTCTAGAACCTGAAGATCAGTGTGGCAGCCCTGGGCATGTGAGATGCGAGACCAAATCATCTACAGGCAGGGTGGGGTAAATGCGTACGGTAGACAGCACGTTGGTGCCGTGGAGTCCGGTTCAAGAAGCCAGAGGACCCTGGCGACCTGGCCGTCAACGGGTCTTGAAAAGGGGGCAGGCAGGAGAGGAATGATGAATGGGGGTTTCACTTCCGGGCCTAATGCCAGTGTCCAAGATGATGTCGCGGCCTTCGGTACATAAGGAGGCTGCCTGGGTTTCGGGGGCGGGATGGGATTGAACCAACGAGGAACCCCAAATTTAGCAGCTTAAGGTTCACAGGTGTCCGCTGACAGACCTACGTGGGTGTCAGCTTCGGGACGCGGGTACCTGGGGGCAGTTTTGCGCAGGAGGAGGAGGGCTAAAATGGCCAGAGCGCACGAGAACTGTCTACGTCATTGCGGCGCACGAGGCTCGGGTAGAAAGGACCAGTGAGATCCGAGGGGACCACCAGCTCATCGGGGTAAGGTATTGGTAACAATGGAAGGAATGTCTGGTGTCTTGAATGTCTCTCGACGTTTTGAAAAGAAATCGAAAAACAGTCTGTCTGTGTTCCATACTGCACGTACAGGCCTAGATGAAATGACTTGCTTGCTCTGATCAGATGAACCTGACATTGAACTGCGTTGCGGGCTTAGAAGCGTGTGGATAAGTACAGGGCCAAGAGAAGCAAGCACCTGAAATGTAGAATCAGAGACATGGATTTCCAAGGTTCGGCGCATCCTATGACGCCATGGGATTCTCTCATTTTCCACTCTGCTCAATTCCATCAGCGTCCCATGCGGTCAGGCGTCATGTGCACCTGTCAATCCTACCCTGTGTGAGCGACTGCCTGCATTGTCTGGGTCGAGGCTCCACGACCTTTACCAGCCGCTCAATGCTGCCTTGTTGGCTTCGGTTCACTGCTTTGCGCACTTCAGACGCGGTGAGTTGTGCTCCTCTTTTCTCTCGTCGGAACTGTGCGTATATGTGTGTGTGACTGACCCTGACATGCCCTGATCCGACCTAGCAATGCCTTGACTTGGCTCATCTATGCCTGACAATTTGCGTGCCTGATATTGCCATGGCCAGGCTTGCTATTTACGCTGACTCGCCTGACCGAGGAACAAGTTGAACAAGTTGGCAGTGATGGGCATGTGTGGTTTGACTACACCTGCGAACGAGACGACGAAAGGCCACGATGACAAGGCCATGCGCGACTGCTGGGAATCTCTCTCTCACTCGTTTCCCTCCTCCACCTCCTCGCCCATCAGCCGTCACCGGGCCTCGTCCCAGTTCCCCTCGATAACCAATTGCTCCGAGGAAAAAGGTGGCCCAGCGACGGAGAGCATCCACTCTCAAGCGGCTCGAAGGCACCCTGGGCAGGGGCCAAGCCAAGTCTGGCACAGGTCTGAGGTCAGGGCAGCCAGGAAAGTCCAGGGAGGCGCCAGGGTCCCGCTCACCTTAACGCCCAGACTCGCTGCTGATCCTGACCAAAGTGAACGCACACGACCTCATCGGACAGCCCTCCATCCATCCCCTTGGCTCTTGTTCCCCCCTTAGGTTCAGGCCTCCCCTCCCCCCCCCCTAACCCCCCTTCGACCTCCGACTACCGCCGCTGTGCTGTCGTCAACGTTGACTCTTCGTTCACTTGTGCATAGACACTGACGAACATTTGGAGCGCTTGTACAGTATTGTCGCTGTATTTCTTTCCTATCCTCATCTTACAGGCATTCTTTCCATACTTCCGCAGCCGACGAGCTCAACCGCTGCCATCTCATCTCCACCTCCTGGACTCGCGTGTCTCATCGGACCGGCACTACGGGTCCGCTCTGTCACCGCCCTGGCTGTACCTGCCTGGACCGCCTTTCCAAAACCCATCCCCTCTCCCCACCACCATCAGCCTTTGAACCTGCCTACCTTTTGGCTTTCACGGTCTGGGAAAGCGCGGCAGGGCTTCTTTCCCTCACTTGGCTTCTCATCTAAGAAGATCAACAAGGCACCAATCACGGTTCGGCCTTCTTCTG